ATATTAATGGACTGAACTCCCCAGTCAAAAGACACAGACTAGGTGAATGGATTAAGAAACAAAACCCATCTTTTTGTTGTATGCAAGAAACTAATCTCACTTTCAAGGACAGGCACTATCTTAAGGTGAAAGGATGGAAAAAAATATATACCAAGTGAGTGGTACTAAGAAAAAAGGAGGCATTGCAATTCTAATAGTTGACAAAATAGACTTTCAGCTAAAACTAATGAGAAAAGATAAAGAGGGCCACTTCATTCTGATTAAAGGAACAATAAACCAAGAAGATATTACAATCATGAACATACATTCACCAAACTCTGGGGCACCCAGTTTCATTAAAATAGTACTACAGGACTTTAAGACCCAGATTAATCCCAACTCATTAGTAGTAGGGGATTTCAATACCGCATTGTCTCCACTAGGTAGGTCAACAAGACAGAGATTTAACAGAGAGACATTTGAATTAAACAATACCATACATCAAATGGGCATAACAGACACCTACCGAGTATTCTACATCGACCGAATAGTCCACCCAAGCACCAAAGAATATACTTTCTATTCAGCGCCCCATGGAACTTTTTCCAAAATCGACCACATACTACAAACAAACAAAAACCTCAACAAATACAAAAAGATTGAAATAATTCCTTGCATTCTATGCATTATTCTATGCAATAAAGCTTAAAATAAACATTGGAAGAAGCCTTAGTCACCACATGAACACATGGAGATTAAACAACACACTCCTGAATAATGAGTGGGTCAAAAGAGAAATTAAGAAAGAAAATATTCCTGGAACTAAATGAAAAGGACAAAACAAAACCTCTGGGACACGCTGAAAGCTGTCCTTAGAGGGAAGTTTATAGCTCTAAGTGCCTACATTAAAAAATCAGAAGGAACACAAGTACATGACAACATTGCAACTCAAGACACTTGAAAAGCAACAACAAATGAAACCCAAACCCAGCAGACAAGATGAAATAACAAAAATCAGGGAAGAAATTAATGAAATCGAAACAATATAAAGAATCAACAAATCTAAAATCTGGTTCTTCGAAAAGATAAACAAGAATGATAGACCGCTAACCCAGTTAACCGAAAGAAAGAAAGAGCACCTCCAAGTCAACAAAATCAGAGATGAAAGGGGAAACATCACAATAGACACCAGAAAGATACAGAACATTATAAGGGAA